TAAAAACAATTCAATCTACATGCACTGCATATTTACTCTAATTGTTGCTTTTAAAGAAACAAACATTTCATAAGACTGTCGATACTTTAACAGAAACATTTCCCAACTGATCGACCTAGATCCATTTTAACGATCTCTCTATAGACAATTTTGAAATTCTCGCACCATTTCAAGCATGAATCATAATTTCCATTACACCTCCTGATTTCATAAATTATTATCAGCTCTATATATCTCTGAATATATTAATATTTATCATTATCTTAAACGTAAGGCCACGTCGCCATAGTTAAGATTCATCTAAGTTTATATGTAATTTTGATAACTTTTTATTAGCTATATAAATAAATTAAAGTAAGTACAAGTTTATAAAAAATACTACAATGAAATGTTTTTAACTTTTAGTAATTTCTCTACTGGTCATTCATTCAGTCGCTATTATAAATATTAAATCTAGCCATGCTTTGTATTAAACATTTTAAGAGAAAGTTATATCTCGAATTGGCTCTAACACTTGTATTTTAAGAAATCTCATCTTAAAGAACTCACGTATAGACAGTCGAGTTGTTCCACTGACCATCGGCCAAATAATTTGTGCTAACAAGCGGAAAATGTTACATAAATATTGCGCAACATTCTATACTTTTTGTATAGGGTAGATGAGATAATAAAGCATTGGATCCAAAGCAAATGAAAATAAGTTTTTGTTGTTTTGACGACGAGAAGGGTTGATAATTATTAAGGCCCACGCTCGAGATTAACAGCAGCCCATTGTTCTCAGCTGGCTTTCCTTTTTTTTCTTGCTAAGCTTCGACGTCACTATCCGCTGGTATCTTGATTTTAACCCTCACGCTGACAGATGGACATTAACACCCACGTGAATGCTCGGCAGGTATCAATTACCAGCCTCTAATGCGAAAATAACAAGCAACATGAAACTTCGGACTAAGAAGGCACACGAATAAAAATAAAGCAGCCAGGCGGAAAGCGAGGAAAAACTAAGAGCAGAAAGCATACCAAAAAAAAAAAAACAAAGCCAAGTGGGAGTGAAGCACAGAAAGGAAGGGGGAAGGACCAGGAAAAGACTTGACCAACTCGTCGAGGCAGATGATAGTGGAAGCAATTTGCATTGATAAAAGTAAATGATGCAAAGAGCATTTGCGACAACTTCGTAGTCAGGTGTGCAAAGGAAGTGGTTCCAAGAACAAGAGGAAGCACAAGTGCCACGGAAGCAGAATAAGTTAGTGGCTTGTAAAAACTTGGGCACAGTTTGCAAAAACTTATGCAAATTCTACCTGCAATCAAACAAAATGTTAGTGAAGTGAATTCAAAAGAATGCCAAGTCGAGAAATTGAAATACTAGGCATTCTGCAGGCAAATTGCAGGAATTTGCAAATTTTTGAGGCACAAATAAATACAAAATTTGCAAATAAAGATTGTAGTTTTGCTACAAACTATTTGTTGAATATATGTTGAAAAGTTAAAAGGCAGAGGGAACTATTAACTTAACTAATGCAAGCATAAAAGTATATGCTCATATAGTAAATGGTTGTAAAAAGTTTTTAATAAATAAATTAACAAATAATTGTCACAGAATTTATGCAATTAAAACTGCTTAATTTAACTAATTGTAATTAACGTAATTGAACTCAAGAAATCAAAAACATCATATTTCAAAAAACTGTGGAACTTTATTAATGCCATCCAATTCGATGCTTTAATATGGATATAAAATTAACCGTATATATTGCCGGACATTATAAAATGTAAGCTTTATAAACATGATAGAACGATTCAGCCGATCATCATTTCAAACAAATCTCTGTAGCAGAACCAATAAGCAGAAGAAGGGCAAACCCGCCCCTTCAGTTTGTGGGCATAGTACTGGAGTGAAATTAATTAAGAATTTTTATACATACTTTATGGGATCATTGTACATACCTGCTACATACTTAGCATAAATCTAATGTACCCTCAGAACAGGTCGTAAATTAGTCAGGAGATCAAAAAATCAATTTGCTGTTAGTGCGTGACTTCTTGTTCAGTTATTTATAATTTTGCTGTGATTTTTTTAAAACTACTCTAATTTTTTTGATTATGATGATGTCTATGGAGAATCAGCGAATAATTTGCTTAAAATAATAATAATTATGAATAGGAAAATTAAAATTGTTTGTGGCGATCAAACAACCTTAACCAAAATTGAAGATATGTTTTTATTTTAATATTTGTAGATTACAATTTTAAAATAAACTAAAATGAAATGAATGCACTCACAACCCACTTCAAGCCACTTTTACTCTATCGTGATGAGGGAATAATTACAAATTGAATAATTATTGAAATAATGGGTCGTAGGAAATTACTTTTTTGTTTCATTATTGTCAATAGCACAGCAATAAAATGATCGCAGCAATAAGTTGATAAAGAAATTATCACTCGCAATGAATCACTTATGGCCAAAATACATATAAGTATGCATGCGACATTCCAAAGCAGCTCGATCACTACTTGCTGAATGGCTGTGCAGTGGTGAGCGAGGGGGCGAAAGGGGGAGCGGATCGCTATTAAACATTCCAATGATTGCTTGCTTCACGCCTCAAGGCGCAACAATTCGCCATAAGCAAGTGCACAGAAAATTAACAAACAACTCGAAAAAAATTGGCACCAACTGCCGCCTAATCAACAAAACACACACACACACATTCGCACTCACACAGCGAGACGTAAAAGACACAAAAAGCAAAATAGCGGTGAAATTTGTTAACCAGGCAGCCATAGACATCAAGCAGCCAATGCACCCATTATGACAGCCAACCACAAAAACCAGAGGAATGCGACAACGCGAAAATTGCATTTGCGAAACCCTCAGCAGCAGCGACAACAAATGGTGTAGGGAAAGCGTCCAATAGACAATACTCGTACTAACAACAAAAACAACAACAACAACAACAATTACAATGGACAACCGATGGCTATAGCCTGGTTGGTGGCCAGCACATACCGCTCATCAAAAACTCATAGATCATTCCGATTTGGCAGCGTCATACGTCCGTACATATAGCATGCAAAGTCTTAGCAGCCATCGTCAATTGGCCAAAACAAAACGCAGCTAAAGAAGTGAAGAAATGCAAATGGAAATGAAATGGGAAATCGCATTTTAATTGCAATGCAACATGGCCAGAAACAACAGCAACAACAACAACTACGACAATATAAGAGATTACTCTTGGCTTGAACGAAACCTAAATACACTTTACAAAAATTGTCTCAATCACAAAAATTATAATCGTTATAAAATTTTTCGTTTGTACAAAAATTGGAAGTAATATATATGTATATATAACCTATAATATAATTCTTGTATTACCAATGAAACATTTTAAACTACCATTGAGAAAAAAAAGAAATGTTCTTCTATATTTGTCTTTAGCTTTTTATCTGATCTGACCCCTCACAAGACATAAATACACTTAACAAAAATTGTCTCAAGTGCTAATCACACAAATTATAATCGATATAACATTTTTTCGATGGACAAAAACTGGAAGTAATACTCCTATATATGTATAATACACTTCTTGTATTACCAATGAAACATTTTAAACTACCATTGAGAAAATAAAGAAATGTTCTACTATATTTGTCTTTAACTTTTATCTGATCTGGCCTCAATTACTAATGTAACTTTGCTGGCTGCAAAAAATAAATAAGTCATTAGGTTTATAAATAGCGCCTAATCGAATTATCTGATTAAAAACCTATCTATAAATGACTAAATAAATATGTTTGTTAAGCTTTCAAACAAAAACAAAAAGAATGAAAGAACGTTTATAAAGCTATCGCTAAATAAATTAGGTATACTATATATATTTGATTATCAATATCAGGTGGTCTGCTGGTAGCAACCTACACTGAAAACAAAACCCTCCATTGATGCCTCACCTAAGCTGCAAAGATTATTTAGTGTTCTAGAGCCATGGTTTCGCCGATGGAATAATATATAGTCTTAAAGCAGGTGTGTACCTATGGCATCCAACTATGGGAAACACACTAATATGAAGATATTAACAGCGCTTCAATCAAAAACATTGAGGCCTATTAGGGGCGCACCCTACTAGTTGGACTTGGGCAAAACAAGGGTCTGCGAAACTATTCCACTTTTTGCGGTTCGATATGGATATGTTTGGATAAAGGTTCTTTGATCACGATAACATCTGTTCGTTAGAACTAACTTATTATAGACATAATACAATTGAAATACGTAAAATAAGTCTCTGTTTTTATTTCAAATTTTTGAAACATTTGTAAAATTTTGTATATTTTAAAGTGAAGGATATTATCAAGATAAATAAGCGGATAGATCTCAAATAAAGATTCAATGTACGATCGCAAAAAAAATGTAAGATCGTTTTTGCCGGATATTTCCTGTGGCTTGGACAATAAACATTTAATTTGAAGTTATTCAGAAACGAAACCTCTTTATATTTAAGTAATATTGAGTTGACATGTTATATTTGCTTTTGACAGAACTATTCTATAAAATTTATCCTTTATAGGTATCTCCGGGGAAATATCTGCTGAGTCGGGGCATAGCTTGACGAACTGGCTTTCAAATTTTCCCCACCGGGTTGGAGATTTCCCTTTTACTCCTTTTACTCTTTACAACACTACTTGTTGATTTATTAAATTAAATTAAATAAAATAAAAATTAACCAAAGAACTTGCAATTTCGCTTTTTACTTCACTCCACTTTTTAGTTCATATTTTTGTAATTCCATTACTCTTCAAGTCAAATATTTTATATTATATTGTAAATATTAAATTGTAAATATATTTTATGCCAAGACAGTTGGGATTGAAGGAACTCTAACTAAATGGAATCAAAGATACATTTTCTCTCTTTATTCACTGTCTTAACTTATGAAGGGTAAATGACAGTAAAGCTAGAATGACAGCCCCTCTTGGGGGGCACGTCTCTACCATTAACATTGACCTACCCGGCTGGCGATGATCCTTGGCTGGCGCATTTGCCCGCTGCTGCATGGATGTGACGTTGCGGCGGCGTTGGCTGATGATGTGGCGAGGAGGTGGCCGAAACTGTTGGCGTGGTTTTGGCGCTGCCACTATTGGAGGAGCCGCCTCCACTGCCAGTGGCAGATGCGGATACGGATGCAGCAGCTGTGGCAGCCACTGCTATTTTGCGCTTTGGTGATAGCTCCTGGGCGTTCTCACAGACGTTCTCCGTGTTGACGACTTGCTCGAGCATGTGTATCTTTAGCATGTTGCTTGATGGATTGAGTTGATTGATTGATTGATAGATTGAATGTTTGGCTGACTGACTGACTGAGTGAGTGACTGACTGACTGGACTCTGCAAGCGCGGCTGATTTTCAATGATTTTTGAGTGACGTTGTGTTGATTGGTTGTTGATTTGTTGCTGGTGTTGTTGTTGTTGTTGTTGCTGTTGTTTGGATTTTTGGTTATGTATTTTTTGGTTTCAAATATTTGGATGCGTCGTGTTTTGGTTTTGTTGTTATTTTTGTTGTTGTTGCGTTTGTTGATTTTTAATGCAATTTTGATTGGCGTTTGTGTTTTTCTTGATCTTCTCTGGTTCTTTCTTTCACTTTCACTTTAAAATCGTTCACCGTATGCGCTTTAATAGAGACATTGAACATTAGATGTGTATGTATTTATGAACATGCTGCTTGCCTTCTGCTCATTAAATCAATTTACGTGCATTATTTTTTCATTGTTCGTAGAATGTCCGACATGTTGCCGCCGTCTTGACTGCTGCCTTGCTGGCCTTCACGCAACGCTGATTAATTAAATTTACGCACTCGACTCACCCTATAACACACACATACACCCCTTTTTTAATTTTTATGGAATTCTTTTTACGACGCATAACCGTAGAGCAAATCTAATTTATAAAATGTCGGTACAGTTGCGGTCAAAATCGTTTATAAGCCACCCATGAAACACATACAATTTTATTATTAATATTACATTATGTATGATCTAAGCGAGAATGAAGCTAGGAAGCTATGCCCGAGGATTAAAATTTTGTTACTAAAAAATACACAAAATGCCATTACCAAAAGCAAATTCATGAAAACATAGTTTCCAAACTACAGAAACACTGTGCCTTAGCAGCTCGCACAATTTCAAAAACTAAAAAAAAAAAACAATAATAATTGAGTGCCAATAAGTCTGTTTGAAAATAATAAATTTTTTTGAAAATACAATCGTCAGTAGTTTTTGAAAGCCCTCATCATTCATAAAATGCACAAATTCGAAGCTACCTTAAACTATCTCCATTCTCTTCATACATGCTTTAAGATTTCGGATTATTATTATATGTGTACTATGTATGTATATCTTTAATATTTATTGTGAAAATGACAAACATACACTATGTGTCATCTTCACGTATGTAGATAGTCTGTGATTACGAGATTCAAATAGAATCGATTCAAAATATACCTATCAAAATATGTATACCTAAGCAAACCCATCATGGAGTCCTTATATTAGAAGCTCTGCCTTTGTTATGAATTTATTTACTAAGGCTTAAAATATGGTAGTCATCGGTCGTTTTAAAAGGTCAAGCCTTTTTCGTTTTCTAATTATTTATTTTGCTAACACATAACATTGGTTCAAGACTTCAGCAGGTCAGCAAGTTACCTTCTCTTCAGTTAAAAAAAAATGTTCAAAATTAAAATATTGATTCTGTTGTATCTTCTTTTATATTGTATCTTTCGTAAATACAATTGTTGGTAAAGTTGATTATTATAAATGCGTATAGTACATGCTTATAGTTTAACTGGAAATATAGTTGATTGTATATGTGGAACTTATGGACACGAAACTATGACTTGAATAGCGTTGGCAAAGTTGTCAACACTTTACTTAAGACTATTCTGTTCTTGCGAGCTCATCTGCTTCGCAATTAGTAAACTGTGAACACTATTATTAATGAATAATCAGTAAATATTAAGCATGAATACAATTTTAGTTTTGTTGTTCTTCAAATGCTTTCCCAGCAACCCAATTATTTTGACCGCTTCTGTATGTGTGACTTTCTTATAACGACACCAGTTGAAGAGAAGGCTGCGACTTCTACTTCGGCAGACCTCAAACGATGACATGCAGGCAGGTGTAAGCCCGCATATGGGTAGAATGAAGAATTTCAAGTGAAAATGGAAATTTAATAACCGGCACAAGAGCCCCCGGGGCAACTTTATGAGCCTTCGAAGTGGTCACCACCTCACCACACCACACACCCATCCTCAGCGACCGCTTCATAAAATTCCATAAAATGTAAAACAAAGAAAATCACTCAGAAAGGGAAAAATAAAAAATTGTATAAAGTGCACGGCCAAACAACTCGCATATTAAGAATAATGTTGAAAAGCCATTGGCACTGCTTTCCGTTTCTTTCTGAGACGAACCGAGCAAAGCCCAGCCCAGCCCAGCCCAGCAGAGCCGTGGAAGGAAAGCGTGAAAATGCGTGCAATAAAAATTGTGAGGGCGGTGGGGTGGGCGGGGAGACAAACAAACAGGCAACCCGCACACATGTATGTACTATATGTATGTGTGTGTGTATGTAGGTGTGTTTGTATGTAAAATACCCACACAAGCGCTTGCCGGAAAAGTAAAAACAAAGCGCCATAAAAATGTTAAAAACACAAGTTAAGGTAGTCTGGTGGTGCGGGTGTTGAAAGTTAACTTGAACCTGCCCCACTGACAATTGGCTTAAGTCTGTGTCATCGTCCCAGGGCTCGGGCTCGGGCTCGGTTCGGCTCGCTTGCGCGTTTTGTCGAGCCCCGTTCTTTGGGGTTGCTGCCGTATGTCTGTCTGTCTGTCTATCTGTCCGTCACATGCTGAAAGCTAAAATGGCTGCCGGCACGTGTCCAAGTACATTTCATACCACATAAGATGATTTATGGCATTGACTGAAGGCATGTGCACTGCTTACAACAACAACAACAACAACAGCAACAACAATTCAACAACAACGGTCTGAAGAAGTAGGTAGGCAGTTACTACCTCTGTGTGCCTCATAAAGCGACTGTTTCATTGTTGCGATTGTTGTCCTCCTGTCGCTATCACCGTTCGTCTCCTTGTTGTTGTTGCTTTTGTTGCTTTTGTTGTTGTTGTTAAGTGGCAATATGTGCGTACTAAGACGGTTAAATGCGGATGGCGGCGGGTTTTCGACCGTGCATTACTGAGTTTTTTTTTAAATGGTCATGAGGGTATAAAGAATTAAGATAGCCAGGCATATGGCATGGATATTGGATAAAGGTTAGCTCGTATGAACTTTTATGTCAAATTACAATCAATCGAGTAGTTAAGTATTTTAAAAATGTTTTCATTTGAAACCTAAAATGTAAAACTTTATATATTAAATTTTAATCCTAAAACAAAACTACAAGTATATCGAACAATTTTGAAATAATTAACTAAAAGGATTATGGAATTGAATATGCCAGCATACATAAAAACACTGTCGATCTGGGTACTCGAATATTATTAAAATGTTGCCCTCAAATGTGGGAAAATACATTAATTAGCTGTCATAATGGATATGGAAGCTAACGAATAGGTTCTTCAATAAACTTTATATGAATGAAAACAATAACAAAACTATATCCTACAATTTTGAAATATTTAACTAAAAGGATTATGGAATTGAATACATTAAAACGCTGTTGATCTGGGTACTCGAATATTATAAAAATGTTGTCCTCAAATGGGAGAAAATCCTTTAATTAGCTGCCATAATGGATATGCTATATATAAGTATCTAGTGGATGCTATATATAAGTATCTAGTGGATAGGTTCTATAATAAACTTTAGTGGTTAGCATGAATCCAAATAGTACTTCCAAATTTTTCAACATATTTAAAGCTTAAATTTGAAACAGATATACCCAAGTAAAGCCCACAAAATTTAAAATATTTAATAAAAACAGTATAAAGTTGAGCTCAGTTTGAGAATTACGCGTATAACCGCAAACATACTTAAATTAGACAAAATAGATGAAAATGAATTAGCTGATGCAACTATGTCAGTTGACTTTGCAATCAACATGTGATAAGTAGATGTTTTACAATTATTTAGAATTAATACGAATACTCATCCAGAAATCATGTTATAACTGCTCTTGAAAAATGATTTTTAAGCCATAATGTTTATACTTTTGCGGATTTCTAGCAATTTGATTGGAACAATCTATAATATATTTTCATTTAAAATTTACTTTAAAAATCTTAAGCTTTTTTTCAACTACAATAATGAAAAGTAACATTATTCTTAATTTTTTACAGTGAAGAAAAGGGCGCACGCAACCGGCAATCGGTTATTTTCCTTCAAATCCAATTGCAAAAGCTTATAATTATTAGTTTCTCAAGGCGTTTCTACAAGATATATAGAAAACTAAGACAAGTGACCGAAATTCCTTCTGTAATTACAAAACCACCTTAAGAATGTCTGATGATAATTCCAATTGTTTCGAAAGTGTTACATCAGTGATGACAAAGACTGAAGCAATAAACGCCCAACAAATTTACCGCCTGACTTAAAGAGAAAATTTGAGTCGAGTTCTATTTCGGTAAGATGGAGGTAATTAGCGATGACCTAGACTGATAGCAGAAATGGCCATAAAGCAATATTTGCTTAAGTCATTTATCACGGTTAGGCAACAATATAGATTGCTTGAAGGTATTGCCGAAAATCAAATGGCCTAAATCGTTGGCCATCGATTCTCCCCCCCTTTTTTCTCATCGTCGCAAATGCTTGGCTGACAGCCAAATCGGCTGTAAATATCAATGCAATTACCTAATGTAAAAATCATTGGCTCAAGCCATATTAAAACCAATCATTTCTCTTTTATTTTTTAATTTTTTTGCCTTTGCAGCACACACGCAACTTCCGTTGCAAAATCGCCATTTCCGCATGTGTGGGGCTGCCACCAAATACCATCAGCCCAACAGCAACAGAAACAGAAACAATAACAACAACGCCTCATACTTGTGATCATCAACACGGACGGACAGCAGCAAAAGCAGCCAAGTTGAAACAGATAAAATAAAACAACAACAACAACAACGACAACGAACAACAGCAGCACAAATATGCCAACCAACAACAAATTCAATTACGTGGCAAACCCGATTTTCCTCCGGTGCAAAATTATTTTTTATTTAACTCGCCGCCACCCCCTCTCTAAAATCACTCTGCAACGCAAACAGCATACCTCCTATGCAAAATTATCATTTTTAAATGCGCGACTTTTAGCATCGCACTGTGGTGTCGAAAACGGTTCTAAAACGCATGTAGAGGAATGTTCTAAGTGTTTCAGCAAGATGGTTGCCTTAAAATGGAATAACTTTTTAATCTGATGAAATGATAATGTTTGTTTTGAAATTAAAATGAATGTCCCGTTTAATCGGTTCTAACATATAGTACATGCCTTTGATTCTGAGATTCTTTATAAGTATTTTAAATTTCGAAATGAAATAAACTCACTTCTTCATCTTATGAAAATGATTTTAAAATGTTTCAGCCTCGAAATGTATGTTGTGGAATGAAATCGGTGGAAGTGCTTCTCATAAATGTATTATGCACCTATATTTAAATAAATAAATATA